GGAAGTTCTTTGTAATGTTTAGATGGAATCTCCTTTATTGTAGTTTAAAGCCATTGTTCTGCGTCCTAGTCTCCAGAGCAGCAGAAAGCAAGCTTGCTCCCTCCTCCCTATGACTTCCTCTCACATATTTATACATGGCTATCATGTCTCCCAGCCTTCTCTTCTTCAGGCTAAACATGCCCAGCTCTTTAAGCCGCTCCTCATAGGGCTTGTTCTCCAGACCCTTGATCATTTTAGTCGCCCTCCTCTGGACACATTCCAGCTTAGTCAACATCTCCCTTCAATTGTGGTGCCCAGAATTGGACACAGTATTCCAGATGTGGTCTAACCAAGGCAGAATAGAGGGGTAGCATGACTTCCCTGGATCTAGGCACTACTATTGATGCAGGCCAAAATCCTGTTGGCTTTTTTTGCCGCCGCATCTCCGCATGTCAAAATGCATTGATTTGATGGTGAAGTTGCATCCTTTGAATGTGGTTTTTGAAAGGCAGATTTTTTTTAAAAAAAAATGCCAAACCTATGGAGGAAACTCTCTGCTGTCCCTCTTTGACCTGTTTTGCTTTGATACTTGTTTGGGACTAGGACCAGACACAAGATCTTTCTCCGTTGGAGCAAAACAGGAGGAGGTTTACATTGCAGTTTGTTTCCTAGCGCTGAAAGCGATCCCTCTTTTCCAGGAAGGCCTCAGATGCCTTCGACTGTTCCTGGAATTCCAGTGGGCCTCCTCCCAAAGCTGGGTCTGCTTGTGAAGCAATGCCTTGGCTTTTGGGTCTAATATTTGTGCATTCGGCAAGGAGGCGGTGGGAAGGAAGAGCAGTGAAGTGTGTGTGATATAATGAGAGGGTACCTACATTCTTTGTGATGGAGTCTGGGTGGCAAATGTGAAGGGATGTCATATATTCTATTTTCCAAAATTGTGCAAATGAGTGGCAGAGATAGTGACACCACTGGTTCTATTTAATACACAAAGTTACTGAAAATATTTTTTACATATTTACCTTCAGGCTATGAATGCAAAGTGTATAGAAAACATACATGCATTTTGTGTTTGGAATTAGGTCCCACATCCAAGATTATATATACTGAAATATCCCTCTTTTCCAGGAAGGCCTCAGATGCCTTCGACTGTTCCTGGAATTCCAGTGGGCCTCCTCCCAAAGCAATAGAACACCACTGGTTCTATTTAATACACAAAGTTACTGAAAATATTTTTTACATATTTACCTTCAGGCTATGAATGCAAAGTGTATAGAAAACATACATGCATTTTGTGTTTGGAATTAGGTCCCACATCCAAGATTATATATACTGAAATATTCCAAATTCCAAAACACTTCTGATCCCAGGCATCTCAAATAAGATATATTCAATCTATATAAATAAAAATGTAATGTTCGTTTGTGGGATTAACAGAACTCAAAAACCACTGGACGAATTGACACCATATTTGGACACAAGACACCTAACAACCCAATGTATGTCCTTCACTCAAAAAAATTGATTTTGTCATTTGGGAGTTGTAGTTGCTAATATTTATAGTTCACCTACAATCAAAGAGCATTCTGAACCCCACCAACAATGAAATTGAACCAAACTTGGCACACAGAACTCCCATGACCAACAGAAAATACTGGAAAGGTTTGGTGGGCAATGTTCTTTGGTTTTGGAGTTGTAGTTCACCTACATTCAGAGAGCACTATGGACTCAAACAATGATGTATCTGGACCAAACTCTACAGGAATACTCAACATGCCCAAATGTGAACACTGGTGGAGTTTGGGGGAAATAGAATCTTGACATTTGGGATTTGTAGTTCACCTACATTCACAGAGCATTCTGAACCCCACCAACGATAGAATTGGGCCAAACCTCCCACACAGAATCCCCATGACCACCAGAGTGGGCCACAGCAACACGTGGCAGGAGGCGGCTAGTCTATATAAATAAAAATGTAATGTTCGTTTGTGGGATTAACATAACTCAAAAACCACTGGGCGAATTGACACCAAATTTGGACACAATATAAGTATCAGGCCAACGAGGGACCATCATTCATAAAAACATAGAAAAACACAGCAGAAGAGACTTAAAAACCTGAAAAACAAAAATTACATTACAACGCATGCACAAAACAACATATATACACGCAAACACACATATGCACATATACACATATTATACACATATATACACAAAACACATATACACAGACTGGGCCACAGCAACGCGTGGCAGGGGATGGCTAGTTTACATATATATTTGTGTGTGTTTGTGTATATGTGTGTATACAAGTACAGCATATTCTGTATACATAAAGGTTTTCCCCTGACATTAAGTCCAGTTGTGTTTGACTCCGGGGGGTGGTGCTCATTTCCATTTCTAAGCCGAAGAGGCAGCATTGTCCACAGACACCTCCAAGGGCATGTGGCCGGCATGACTGCATCAAGTGCCATTACCTTCCCGCCGGAGCGGTACCTATTTATCTACTCACATTTGCATGTTTTTGAACTGCTACATTGGCAGAAGCTGGGGCTGACAGAAGGAGCTCATGCTGCTCCCCCCATTTGAACCTGTAACCTTTTGATCAGCAAGTTCAGCAGCTCAGCGGTTTAACCCACTGCACCACCGGGGGCTCTGGCATAGCAGGCATTTGTGCCAAATTTGGTCCAGTGAACAAAAATTCATCCTGCATATCAGATATTTACATTATGATTTGTAACAGTAGCAAAATTGCAGTTATGAAGTAGCAAAGAAAATAATGTTATGGTTGGGGGTCACCACAACATGAGGGACTGTATTAAGGGGTCAGCGGCATTAGGTAGGTTGAGAATCACTGAGGTAGAGGGTTGGATTTTGCCCGCCACTGATGTAGAGGAAAGGCTCTCCGGAAAGAGAACGAAACCACATTCTGGGGTCAAAGTGCTGCTGACACAAAAGGAAACCACCGTCAGCACTGGAAACTGACGGAGAGGGATGTGCGAAGGCGTCACCTAGACAACCCCAGCAGGAAATCGAGCCCACTGGCTTGTTCAAATCGGCTGGTGTTGGGAAGAGAGAGGATCATGGGATTGACAGCCTTTCCAAGCCAGGGCTGACCGGGCCAGCAACCTTTCCCCTTGCGCCCTGAAGTTGCATAACGGAAAGGTGGCTGACCATGCCATGCAGCTTCCTCTCCGGCTTGATTTAAACTTTGGACGATCCAGGAAAGGCTTCATCAAGGCTGCCCATCCTCCAAAACAATCCTCCCCAATGTAATTCCATCATGAACCAAGCAATTCCAACATCAGCAAAGGCACAAAGAAAATACTCCCAGTAAAAATGGATTTTTAAGGGGAGGACAAGTGATAGCAATTCTAAGAAATTGTCATGTTATTCTGTTATACCAAGTACTGCCCTGAGTTTCCAGGAAAGACAGAAAGCAAAGGAAACTTGTGAATATGGCGCCCAGTGCTTGGCAGAATGGGAAAAAATAATTACTAGAAAAGCACTGTATTACACAATGAACAGACAAAAACAAGAGAAAAAGAAGGCATCTTTCTCGGCTGACTTTCAGTTAAGCAACCAAACTAGGTCTCCAAACAGCTTCCAACTCTTTTTACGAACCCACAAATTAAACTTTTGGAGCTCTATCAATTTCTCCAGTGTTTCTCAACCTTCCTAATGCCGCGACCCCTTAATATAACTCCTCATGTTGCAATGACCTCGAACCACACAATTATTTTTGTTGCTACTTCGTAACTGTAATTTTGCTATTCCTATGAATCATAATTTAAGTACCTGATATGCAGAATGTATTTTCATTCACTGGACCAAATTTGGCACAAATACCCAATACACCCAAATTTGAATACTGGTGGGTTGGGGCGGGGGTGAGGGGAGGGATTGTTTTTGTCATTTGGGAGTTGTAGTTGCTGGGATTTATAGTTCAGCTACAATCAAAGAGCATTCTGAACTCCATCAACGATGGAAATTGAACCAAACTTGGCACACAGAACTCCCATGACCAACAGAAAATATTGGAAGTGTTTGGTGGGCATTGACCTTGAGTTTTGGAGTTGTAGTTCACCTACATCCAGAGAGCACTGTGGACTCAAACAATGATGGATCTGGACCAAACTTGGCACAAAAACTCAATATGCCCAAATGTGAACACTGGTAGAGTTTGGGGGAAACAGACCTTGACATTTGGGAGTCATAGTTACTGGGATTTATAGTTCACCTACAATCAAAGAGCACTCTGAACCCCACCGATGAGAGAATTGGGCCAAACTTCTCACACAGATCCCCCATGACCAACAGAAAATACTGTGCTTTCTGATGGTCTTTGGTGACCCCTCTGACACTCGTCAAAAAGGGGTCCCAATCCCCAGGTTGAGAAACGTTGCTCTAGGCACTTTCACAAGGGATTTAGAAATAAGACATAAACCCTTCTCTGGAATGAACCTTTTTGTGGAGCAAAGAAAGCACTCCGCATACGTCCATAGGCACTCTGATCTTGATTACACTTTCCCTCATCATCCACATCCTATCCTGAAATGTCAGGGGTCCTATGCAGTCATAAAACTCCTGTTCCTTGCGTAAGTGATCTTAATAGTTCTGGTTAAGGAACCAGGTATCCAAAAGCATAGTTGTAGTAGTCTTCTACTCAAACAAGAAAACACAGAGAAACTTTTGTTCTTTCTCAAATAAGCAGGAAGGCTTTTGTTTCTGCTTCATTGCACCAGGATACAAAATATATACAAAATACAAACTTTACAGCTTCTTCCTCACTACTCACAGCAATTCTCCAACACACCATCTGTCCCTCATCAAACTTACTCAACATAACTACAAGCTATATACTACTTTCATTGCATTGACCACCACACCCTAATGACAGTGGCTTAACTCTTTTATAGGTGGTTAAACCAAAGGGATTAACTGTGCTTTCAGTTAGAAAATGCCAGGTAAATTCCAAATCCTGAAAATGCAACCCAAGTCTTTGATCAGACGTGACTCACCTTGGTCCTGCCATTAATATTGTACTCGCCCAGCTTGCCGGCGCAATGCATGATGAGCTCGTCGATACGCGCCATGAGCGTCCCAATCGCTTGGCAGCCAGGCTCCTGGCCTTCTACCCAAGCGATCTGGTCTCCCCGGATGCTGCGGGAAGGCACTGTTTTCTGGCTCACCAGTTGCCCATCGCGGAACTTGCCACTGCGGTTGAGACCCTCCACTTCGGCTAAAATCTGGCTCCCCAAAGCCTCCCCGAGAAAAGAGTCCTTGACGCAAATCCCATAAAAGTTCATACAAGGCACCACATAGTCCAAGGCTAGCCGGTGGACAGGCACACGGCTCTCCACAGGATCGGGACCCCGGTGACGCTTGGACGCCCCTTCGCCCGCAGAGTCGCCATTGTCCAGCCGGCGCCGCTTGGGCTCCCGGTGCCCATTCAGCGCAAGCAGGAGCAAACCCCCGACAGCCGAGCCTTCGCCCTCCAAGGAGCACGCCTCCCGCCCCATATTCTGGCAGGATACACCTAGTGTGGGGGGCTGCGGAGGGTTGGAGCCCTCCATGTCATGTCCTGCAGGGGGGTCGCGGGGTGGGCCGTCGCCATGGCTCGGCCGTCTCTTGCGCCAATACAGCGGTGTTGGCCAGTGCGGTGTGGTCAGCCCAAAGGGTGATGGAGCACCTCAAGGATCCAGATCATCAGAAGAAGGGGTTGGTGCTGTTTCATTTAGGGGGGCCCAACACCTGTGCCTAGAATTTAAAATAATATATAGATATAAGCAAACAGAATACATGCAATCTTTTTCATTAGAGCTGACTCTTAGGACCCTTCTACACTGCCATGTAAAATTATTATTATTATTATTATTATTATTATTATTATTATTATTATTATTTTACTGACATCAAAGCACAGTATGTCACAGCAAATTTCTATTCCTGGACTGCAACTCCCAGCAATCCTCCAGATAGATAGATTAGATAGAGATAGATAGGTAGATGATAGATCAGACACCGCCCCCCCCCCCCCCCCCCCCCCCCCCCCCCCCACCCCCCCCCCACCCCCCCCCCCTTCCCCCCCCCCCCACCCCCCCCCGCGGGGAGTTGCAGTTCAAGAATAGGTAGAAAGGAAGAAGAGGGAAAGAGGAAGGGAAAGAAAGGGGGATGGAAGGAAGAAGGGAAGAAGGAGAAGGAAGGAAGGAAGGAAAGGAGGAAGGAAGGAAGGAAGGAAGAAGGAAGGAAGGAAAGGAGGAAGGGAGGAAGGAAGGGAAGGAAGGAAGGAAGGAAGGAAGGAAGGAAGAAAAAAGAAGGAAGAAAAGGAGGGAAGGAGAAAGGAAAGAAAGAGAAAAGAGGAGAGGGAAGGAAGGAGGAAGGAAGAAGAAAGAAAAAGGAAGAAGAAAGAGGGAGGGAGGGAAGGAGAGGAGGGAGGAGGAGGAGGGAGGGAAGGAGAAGGAAGGAAGGAAGGAAGGAAGGAAGGAAGGAGGAAGAAAAAAGGAAGGAATGAAAGGGAGGGAAGGAAGGAAGAGAGAAAGAAAGAAGAGAAAGAGAGGGAGGAGGAAGGAGGAAAGAAAAAAGGAAGGAAGAAGGAGGGAGGGAGGGAGGGAGGGAGGGAGGGAGGGAGGGAGGGAAGAAAGGAAGAAGGAGGGAAGGAAGGAGAAAGAAGAAGGAAAGAGGAGGGAGGGAGGGAGGAGGGAGGGAGGGAGGGAGGGAGGAGGAAGGAGGAAGGAAGGAGGAAGGAAGGAAGGAAGAAGGAAGGAAGGAGAGGGAGAAGGAAGAAGAAAAAAGGGAAGGAATGAAAGAGGGAGGGAAGGAAGGAAGGAAGGAAGGAAGAAGGAAGGAAGAAGGAAGGAAGGAAGGAGAGGAAGAAAGAAAAAGGGAAGGAATGAAAGAGGGAAGGAAGGAAGAAGAGAGAAGAAAGAAGAGGAAAGGAGGGAGGGAGGGAAGGAGGAAGGAGAGAAGAGAAAGAAAAAAGGAAGAATGAAAGAGGGAGGGAAGGAAGGAAGAGAGGAAAGAGAGAAAGAGGGAGGGAAGGTTAGCCACAGCAATGCGTGGTGGGTACAGCTAGTAGTAAACTAAAACATGAGTGAAACATTACAACATATACCCTAAAAAAGCAATTATGATACAATTACATTAAAATGGCTAACACCAGTACGCTTAAGATGTATTGATTGAATTATCATCCTAAACCATATCATACCACAAACGTTGTATTGACTGAAGGCAAACTTAAATGTAAAACTGCCAAGTATTATTTCTTGGATTCCTGTTGGTTGCTTGAAAGTCCTGGTTCCTTGAATTCCAGCTAACCAGGAGTCTATTGTAATTCCTTTTTATTCAGTGTACTAGTTATGTAATGTATTCTGTCAAAAAAACACGTGACGTTCTTAACTGAAGAAGTTCATAATCAAACATGCAGCTTCAGATTTGGAACATTATCCCAATGTCCTATGTATCTATACCAGGCATGAGCAAACTTTGGCCCTCCAGGTGTTTTGGACTTCAACTCCCACAATTCCTAGCAGCCAGTAGGCTGCTAGGAGTTGTGGGAGTTGAAGTCCAAAACACCTGGAGGGCCAAAGTTTGCCCATGCCTGATCTATGACAATATAAGTTTGGTAACATACTACCAACTTTCGCAATGTCATTTAAAAACAGTAATAATACCAAAATAATATGAAGTAGAAAAGATCCAATTCTGTTTTCCAAGATTTCCTGGAACCTTCAATATCCTAAAGGCATCTTGTATTGATTCTGGGCAACACAATTTAAGGGAGATGTTCACTCTAAGCTGGAATGTGTCTTGAGGAGGGTGACTAAAATGATCAAGGGTCTGGAGAACAAGCCCTATGAGGAGCAGCTTAAAGAGCTGGGCATATTTAGCCTGCAGAAGAGAAGGCTGAGAGGAGACATAATGAGGGTTATGGATCAAGAGGTGAGGGGAACTCATAGGGAGGAGGGAGCACGGAGACTAGGACACAGAACAATAATAAACTTTATTTATACCCTGCCACTATCTCCCCAAAGGGGACTCGGGGTGACTAACATGAGGCCAACATCAAAAAAATACAACACTGCACAATAAAATACAGAATGCAGACTACAATGGCTTCAAACGACAGGAAAGGAGATTCCACCTGAATATGAGGAAGAACTTCCTAACTGTGAGAGCTGTTCAGCAGTGGAACTCTCTGCCCCGGTGTGGTGAGGCTCCTTCTTTGGAGGCTTTTGAAAAGAGGCTGGATGGCCATCTGTTGGGGGTGCTTTGAATGTGAATTTCCTGCTTCTTGCCAGGAGGTTGGACAGGATGGCTCATGAGGTCTCTTCCAACTCTATGATTCTATAAGTCAGCCCTGGTTAGTATTTTGATGGGAGACCATAAACAAAACCTGTAGGCTATGTTTCATAAGAAGGAACTGGCAGAACCACCTCTGAGTATTATTTGCTTACGAAAACATATGCCTTCTGGATATGAATACAACCTGAAACACATTTGTCCTATATCCCAGTAATTAGATCCAAACCTATAGATTGCTGCACCAGGTGACACCAATTCCAGTTGTTTAGACGTTTTAGTGTGGGGATAAGAGACCTTCCAAGCTCTGTAAACAGCGCTTGGAAAGAATTCTGCTTGGGGAAAAAACCTGCAAAGCGTTTGCTGTCAGTTTGAGTTAACAAAGCTGGCACTAGATCTCATTCGGGATAAGGCACGTTCCTATGAGTTCATCCATTGGGTTGCTGCGAGTTTTCCAGGCTGTAAGGCCATGCTCCGGAAGCATTCTCTCCTGATGTTTCACCCACATCTATGGCAGGCATCCTCAGACTGAGGTCTGTTGGAAACTAGGCAAGTAAGGTTTTTATATCTGTTTTAATGTCCAGGGTGGGAGAAAGAACTCTTATCTGCTGGAGGCAAGTGTGAATGTTGCAAAAGGCCACCTTGATTAGCATTGAATGGCCTTGCACTTTCAAAGCCTGGGTGCTTCCTGCCTGGGGGAATGGCCATATTGATTAGCATTCAATGGCCTTGCAGCTTCAAAGCCTGGGTGCTTCCTGCCTGGGGGAATGGCCATCTTGATTAGCATTTAATGTCATTGCAGCTTCAAAGCCTGGGTGCTTCTTGCCTGGGGGAATGGCCATCTTGGTTAGCATTTAATGGCCTTGCAGCTTCAAAGCCTGGGTGCTTCCTGCCTGGGGAATCATAGAATCAAAGAGTTGGAAGAGACCTCATGGGCCATCCAGGCCATCTTGATTAGCATTGAATGGCCTTGCACTTTCAAAGCCTGGGTGCTTCATGCCTGGGGGAATGGCCATCTTGATTAGCATTGAATGGCCTTGCACTTTCAAAGCCTGGGTGCTTCCTGCCTGGGGGAATGGCCATCTTGATTAGCATTGAATGGCCTTGCAGCTTCAAAGCTTGAGTGCTTCCTGCCTGGGGGAATGGCCATCTTGATTAGCATTCAATGGCCTTGCAGCTTCAAAGCCTGGGTGCTTCCTGCCTGGGGGAATGGCCATCTTGATTAGCATTTAATGGCCTTGCAGGTTCACACCTTGGGTGCTTCCTGCCTGGGGGAATGGCCATCTGGATTAGCATTTAATGACCTTGCAGCTTCAAAGCCTGGATGTGTCCTGCCTGGGGGAATCTTTTATTTGGAGGTGTTCGATGCCCGATTGATTATTGTCTGAAATTCCCCTGTTTTCTGAGTGTTGCCCTTTATTTACTGTACTGATTTTGGAGGTTTTTTTAATACTGGTAGCCAGATTTTTGCTCATTTTCATTGTTTCCTCCTTTCTGTTGAAACTGTCCATTAAAAAGTTCATTAATATATGGAATCCTACTGAGTCCTGAGAGTTGTAGTTTGAGAACATACCGGCACTAGAAGCAAGGACTACAAAAGACCTTGCAAACCTTGTATTATTATGGATTGGATGTCATCCCCTATGATTTATTATTATTATTATTATTATTATTATTATTATTATTATTGGGTTGTTGTTGAGTTTTCCAGGCTGTTTGGCCATGTTTCAGAACCATCCTCTTCTCACAACCTGACATGAAACACTCAGGGCGAGTTAACACCTCCCAACAAAGGATTTCCCCAGGCAGAAATCAGCCAGGCTTTGAAGCTGCAAGTCTGTAAGTGGTCCAGCATTTCTATGTTCTCAAATAATATGCTGTGTTCAGGACAGTAAATAACGAGCAACACTCAAAAACAGGGGAATTCAAACAAGAATTAATGACAGCCAGCTAATGCCTCCCAACAAAGGATCCTGCAAGGCAGCAACCAGCCAAGCTTTGAAGCTACAAGGCATTCAATGCTAATCAAGACGACCAATTGCAACATTCACACTTGCTTCAAACAGACATGAGTTCTTTCTCCCAACCTGGACATTCCACAGATATATAAACTTCACTTGCCTAGTTTCTAACAGACCTCTCAACCTATGAGAATACCTTCCATAGATGTGGGTGAAACGTCAGGAGAGAATGCTTCTGGAATATAATAGCCACATAGCCTGGAAAACTCACAGAAACCCAGTGATTCTGGCCATGAAAGCCTTCAACAAAATACAGAAACATTATTTCCTAGTGTTTTGGTATTTGCGTGCCTAATAGTCCCAATAACAAAGTTCCTGGTTTCAGTCTTACTTTGTTTTTTGTTATGTTTTCAATATCAATATGTACTTTTATCCAGAAGGCTTTAGCCTTTGGGCAAGTCCACCACATATGATAAAAGGTGAATGTTTAGATATTTGAAAGGATGACACATTAAGTGAGTTTATTCTCTGCTGCTCTGGAAACTAGGACATAATTTCCAATATGCCTCACAACCTCTGAAGATGCCTGTCACAGATGGGGGTGAAACATCAGGAGAGAGTGCTTCTGGAATGTATTAGCCACACAGTTTGGAAATCTCACAGCAACCCAGAGATTCCAGCCATGAAAGCATTCAACAACATCATATTATTATTATTATTAATTGCATAGCATTAAGCCTTTGCAATTAAAAGTGGCATCAAACCGAATGGACAATGACCTCTCCTCTGATGACACGTTAAGTGAGTTTATTCTCTGCTGCTCTGGAAACTAGGACAGTTTCCAATATGCCTCACAACCTCTGAGGATGCCTGTCATAGATGGGGGCGAAACGTCAGGAGAGAGTGCTTCTGGAATATAATTGCCACACAGTTCGGAAAACGCACAGAAACCCAGAGATTCCAGCCATGAAAGCCTTCAACAACATATTATTATTATTATTAATTGCATAGCATTAAGCCTTTGCAATTAAAAGTGGCATACTACATGGACAATGACCTCTCCTCTGACCACATGGAAGGGCCAGCAAGATGGCCAGGATGGGGGAGAAACGTCAGGAGAGAGTGCTTCTGGAACATAGCCACACAGCTCGGAAAACTCACAGCAACCCAGAGATTCCAGCCATGAAAGCCTTCAACAACATATTATTATTACTATGACCTCTCCTCTGACCACATGGAAGGGCCAGCAAGATGGCCAGGATGGAGGCGAAATGTCAGGAGAGAATGCTTCTGGAACATAGCCACACAGCTCGGAAAACTCACAGCAACCCAGAGATTCCAGCCATGAAAGCCTTCAACAACATATTATTATTATTACTATGACCTCTCCTCTGACCACATGGAAGGGCCAGCAAGATGGCCAGGATGGGGGCGAAACATCAGGAGAGAGTGCTTCTGGAATATAATAGCCACACAGCCTGGAAAACGCACAGCAACCCAGAGATTCCAGCCATGAAAGCATTCAACGACATCATATTATTAATATAATAATAATTGCATAGCATTAAGCCCTTGCAATTAAAAGTGGCCTCCAACTGCATGGACAATGACCTCTCCTCTGACCATATGGAAGGGCCAGCAAGATGGCCAGGATGGGGGCGAAACGTCAGGAGAGAGTGCTTCTGGAACATAGCCACACAGCTTGGAAAACTCACAGCAATCCAGAGATTCCAGCCATGAAAGCATTCAACAACATGTTGTTATTATTATTATTACTAATTGCATAGCATTAAGCCTTTGCAATTAAAAGTGGCACCCAACTGCATGGCCAATGACCTCTCCTCTGACCACATGGAAGGGCCAGCAAGATGGCCAGGAAGGGAAACAAAGCCATTGCAGCCTCCAAAGGCTGGAGTTCCCGACTTTCGCCGGACGCTGCTTTTGAGCCTCGAGTTGGGCTCCTTTGCTCAGGCTCAGGAACCCTCTTGCAAGAGCACTCTCTCAGCTTCAGAGGGAGGCATTGCCCGACCCTTTCTGAGCAAACCACGCCGAGGAAACGAAAGAGAAAACACTGCGGGGAGGGCTTGGAAAACAACACGCAGAAAGAGAGAGAGAGAGAGAGAGAGCAAGCAGCCGCAAAAAGGCAGCCAGGAAGCCTCCAAGTTGCAGTTTCGTAAGGAGAGGGAACCGGGACTGGTTTGCTGGGGGACAGAGCAAGCCCAGCCTAGCTTGGGCTACAAAGAAAGCCAAACAAGGGGCTAGTCCTCAGTGCAAAAGGGGAGACAAAGAAAGCTGTAAATATACCCAAGCATGCTCATTTTCTCCTTACCTATTGCGCACTTGGACTCACCCGGATTGGGGTCATTCCTCTTCCTCCTCCTCTTGTTCTTTCCCTTCTTTTTCCTCCTCCTCCTCCTGTTTTGTGTGCAACCCGGGGCCCCACCTGAAGCCCAGCCCGGCTACCAGAGGAGGAGCCCGGCCCTGGAAGGAGGGACCTCCTCCTCCTCACTTGAAGCCCGCCTCCTTTGCTTTGCACCGCCCAGAAAGACTCCAAAAAGGGGCAAAGCGTGCCTCTGAGCATGTGCAGAGGGAAGGAGCCAGGACAGAGGCGCTCTCAGGGGCAGGGGATTCAAGATAGGGCCTCGTGTGCCCAATAACACTGGTGGAGTTTGGAGAAAATAGACCTTGACATTTGGGAGTTGTTGTTGCTGGGATTTATAGTTCACCTACAATCAAAGAGCATTCTGAACCCCACCGACGATAGTATTGGGCCAAACTTCCCACACAGAACCTCCATGACCAACAGAAAATACTGTGGGTTGTTGTAGGTTTTTCCGGGCTATATGGCCATGTTCTGGAGGCAATTTTTCTCCTGATGTTTCGCCTGCATCTATGGCAAGCATCCTCAGAGGTAATGAAGTAATGAGGACCTCCAGAACATGGCCATATAGCCCAGAAAAACCTACAACAACCCATGGATTCCGGCCATGAAAGCCTTCGACAATACAGAAAATACTGTGCTTTCTTATGGTCATTGGCAATTCAAGATGTCTTGTGATGCATAAGAATGCTGAGTTTAGCAAAAAGGAGATGGGATTAAGGAATTGCACCACCTTACATCTGTCGGGAAGTAGCAGCCAATAGTGAAAGGACCAAAGCAGAGACATCTCCAGCTCATCCCCTGTTTGGGTATCAGCCAGCATGTCAACGACTTAAATCTAGAAATAGTTTTATAAGATCTACAGAGACACTCGCTGGAACACCTCAGCAAGCGAGAGTCCAAAAGTGGCAGGCTCAAACCAGAACCTCAACCAATGGCTGATACCAAATGAGAGACTCCCCGGGCACACAGAGGACTGGGCGACTTGGAAGGTGCTGAACAGACCGCTCTGGCACCACAAGATGCAGAGCCAACCTTCAGAAATGGGGCTACAAAGTGGAATCCTCGACATGCGAGTGTGGAGAAGAGCAAACCACTGACCACCTGCTGCAATGCACCCTGAGCCCTGCCACATGCACAATGGAGGACCTTCTTGCAGCAACACCAGAAGCACTCCAAGTGGCCAGATACTGGTCAAAGGACATTTAATCAACTACCAAACTCACAAATGTTGTATTTTGTCTGTTTGTTTGCTTTGTTCTGTTAGAAATGTAATATAATTGACTGGTTGATCTGACACGACAAATAAATACCAGGTGCAAGATAGCGATAATATTATTTAGCTGAGAGGCCTTTCAGTACCGTTTAAGCAACAGGCCTCGATCGACAGATTTAGGATTTGCCAATTCAGGATCATCCCAGGCCCCAAGAACTGGAGACAGCATCAGGTCATGTCATTAAGTGTTATGAATTGATTACCAACTGCAGTTACTCACCTGCTTAGAGACATATCACGAGGAACATTTAATTTCACCTATTGACTTATTTCCCCACCATGACATCTCAGCAGAAATGTTCCAAGTCCCTGGTTATTCAGTTAGTCCCAGGCAACCTGATTATGACCAATGTAGCTGAAGACAGGTTTGAAAGACCTTTCTTCAAAGTATTTAGCAGTTTGTTTTGCTTGAATTTTTTTGCACTGGGCAAGATCCATTAATCAGTCTGGCCAGATGGTTTTCAATTCTGGTGCCCAAAGACATTATTGTGGTTCTCAGACTAACCCAGCTCCTGCTTTTGGGATGAATATGCACTTGATACAATGGGAAGCAGTAGGAAATGAGTGAATCAGTCCTCTGGTAGTGCATTGATTGTTGTAGCTCAGCAACAGTCACAGCAGGCTGATGGGCTGACTAATGATTTTGAGTCAAGTGGAATTGTGGGCTTTCCTGGGATGCATTCTGATGTAAGGTCTGGGATTCAGTCTCATGCAGAAGGCCATTCTCATGCAGAGCCAGAAAGTGAACGCACTTTATACACAGGCACAGATGAGCCTGGGAATCTAATTGCCTCTGATCCTGCAAGCCTTCAAGGCCATTCACAGGAGTTGGAATCATTCTCTCCAGATAAGGTGTCCAGCAAGACGAGTTGATGAGAAATTCTCATGGGAACACACCTGTTCTAAGTCAGGAGGCTCACTTGCTGATTCGAGCCCATAGCCAGCTGAGGAGTTCATCACGCCTCCGTGGGAAGCGAAAGTTCCAGGGGAGACGTAATGCTTTCATGTCTATATATTAGAAGCTGCAAGCTCTTTGCTCTTTAGTTCAGGCAACATGGCCTTTCAGTTACAGCCAAGCCTGGGTCCTCTAGTTCTTGTCATGGTTCTGGGATTCAAGTTTTCTAGTTCTAGTCATGGTTTTGGGAAGTCAAGTTTTTTGGGAGTTTTCCATGTTCATGTTGATTATCTTTGCTAAAGTTTTGCCTAAGGACTCAAGTTACCTTTGGATTTTGGACTATTCTTGGCCTGTCTTGTTTTTGGATTTGCAACAAGCATTTGATTTTGGAAACCCCAGAGCAGCAATGAGTTAAACCCTTGTGCCAACAGGACTGCGGACCAATAGGTCAGTGGTTCGAATCCAGGGAGGGTGGGTTGAGCTCCCTCTGTCAGCTCCAGCTCCCCATGCGGGGACATGAGAGAAGACTCCCACAAGGATGGTCAAACATCCGGGCATCCCCTGGGTAATGTCTGCTGACTGAAAGATCGACAGTTCAAATCCAGATAGCAGGGCAAGCTCCCATCTGTCAGCTCCAGCTTCCCATGCGGGGACATGAGAGAAGCCTCCCACAAGGATGGTAAACCATCAAAGCATCCGGGAGTCCCCTGGGTAATTGCTGACTGAAAGATCAATGGTTCAAATCCAGGTAGTGGGGCAAGCTCCCATCTGTCAGCTCCAGCTTCCCATGCGGGGACATGAGAGAAACCTCCCACAAGGATGGTAAAACATCAAAGCATCTGGATATCCCCTGGGTAACATCTGCTGACCGAAGATCAACGGTTCAAATCCAGGTAGCAGGTTAAGCTCCCATCTGTCAGCTCCAGCTTTTTATGTGGGACATGAGAGAAGCCTCTCACAAGATGGTAAAACATCTGGGCATCCTGTGAGCAACGTCCTTGCAGACGACCAATTTTCTCACACCAGAAGCGACTTGCCGTTTCTCAACTTGCTCCTGACATGAAAAAGAGGCATTTCATTGCTGTTTGATTTTCCATCTGCTTTCCTTATTCCTGCTTTTTCTACCTATAACTTTTGTGTGCTTTTTACAATAAACCATTTGCTTTTACTCTGGACTTGTGTGTGATGCTTTGGTCATAGGTGGCTTCAGGCTTGCGGTGCAACACTGATTCACCCAAGGAATCCACATCTACCTTCAGTTTGTAATATTGAACAGAGCTGTTGATGATCCCAAGTCTTAAATGTCTTTCATTCATCATGATCATGTCACAGTCGATGACAGCTAACAAATGTGCTTCCAACTCACCTGGCTGTCCTTTCTCAGGCAAGGAACATTCAGAGGTGGTTTGGCCATATAGCCCTTTCCAATGTCAACAATGTACCCAGGTCATTGTTGAATGGCTTCACATGTACTTTTCATGTTTGTAGGAGGTCACTTAATTTTCTGGACTTCCCAACACTTTTGAGCCTTAGTTTGAAGACAGACATTGCTTTGGGCATTCATGAACCAGGGAATTGGAGACTAAAATAGGACCCTGCTCCTTTGGTCCCTTTTGGGTAGGGGAGCAATGCTGCCTCTTTGCAGAACTCTGCCCAAGTCAATCCCCTGATGCCACCCTTTCTGTTGGATGTTCAAAGAGAAGGTTCTTTATGCAAACATTGCAGGATAGGGATTAATCAGACATCTCAGGAACAGCCAAGCTTTAGGATAAGCCTGCCAAGATGTTTACAAGATTAAAGGGGGGAACCAATTGTTCTGATGTAGACAGAACATTATAGAGTGTTACTAAACCTTAAAAGGTTACGATAAGGGCTCTACAGCAAAAAGGTGGCCAAGCAATAGCCATGCTTAATGCAACTTAGCTTCCAAAGTATTAACAACCCCAGAATATAATAGGCGTATGAAATTATGCTTTGGTGCATTCAGAAAGATATGGGGGTTCTTCTCTGTTTCATAGAATCATAGACCTCATGGGTCATCCAGTCCAACCCCATTCCGCCAAGTAGCAGGAAAATTGCATTCAAAGCACCCCCGACAGATGGCCATCCAGCTTCTGTTTAAAAGACCCCAAGGAGTCTCCACCACACTCTGGGGCAGAGAGTTCCACTGCTGAAAGGCTCTCAGAGTCAGGAAGTTCTTCCTAATGTTCAGATGGAATCTCCTTTCTTGTAGTTTGAAACCATTGATCTATGCCCTAATCTCCAGGGCAGCAAAAACAAACTTGCTCCCTGCTCCCTATGACTTCCTCTCACATATGCATACATGGCTATCATGTCTCCTCTCAGTCTTCTCTTCTGCAGGCTAAATATGCCCAGCTCTTTAAGCTGCTCCTCATAGGGCTTGTTCTGCAGACCTTTGATCCTCTCAGCCTTCTCTTCTGCAGGCTAAACATGCCCAGCTCTTTAAGCCACTCCTCATAGGACTTGAACCTTTGATCATTTTAGTCACCCTCCTCTGAACACATTCCAGCTTGTCAACATCTCAATTGTGGTGCCCAAAATTGGACACAGTATTCCAGATGTGAAGCCATTGTTCCGCATCCTAGTCTCCAGGGCAGCAGAAAACAAGCTCCTCCCGATGACTTCCTCTCACATCTTGATCCATGGCTATCATGTCTCCTCTCAGCCTTCTCTTCTGCAGGCTAAACTTTTAGTATCCTGTTTGTTTTTGGATGCTCTGCTTTTTTGGGGGGAGCTTTCCCTAACAGTTATACTTCAGAAACTATAGAGTCATCGAATCATAGAGTTGGAAGAGACCTCATGGGCCATCCAGTCCAACCCCCAGCCAAGAAGCAGGAATATTGCATTCAAAGCACCCGTCTCCTCTCAGCCTTCTCTTCTTCATGCTAAACATGCCCAGCTCTTTAAACCGCTCTTCATTGGGCTTGTTCTCATTTCAGTCGCTCTCCTCTGGACACATTCCAGCTTGTCAACATCTCAATTGTGGTGCCCAGAATTGGACACAGTATTCCAGATTCAGTCTAACCAAGGCAGAATAGAGAGGAATTTCATAATACCAGAAGCCAGTGGAAGTTACTCAAAGAAATAAAATGGTGGGAAATTCATGGAAAGCATAAAGAGGAAATGAAAGAACAAAGCGAGTAGTTACATTGTGAAAATTATCTGTAATGACTTCTTTAAAAAGAGACTAGGCCAGTGGGTCTCAACCTGTGGGTCCCCAGACATTTTGACCTTCAATTCCCAGAAATCCTAACAGCTGGTAAACTGGCTAGGATTTATGGGAGTTGTAGTCCAAAACACATGGGGACCTACAGGTTGAGAACCACTGAACTAGGCAAGAGCAGTTCAACTGGCTATTGGCTATGAAGCAGTATCTTTTTGGTCTGTTGTGTGCCTGTAACCTGACTTACCCTGACCCCATATGAGGGTTTTCTTGCCAATATTTAGTCAAAATATTTGCCTAGCTTCTAAAGCTAAGTATGGGATGTGCCTAAGGCAGGGGTCCTCAAACTTTTTAAACGGAGGGCCACGTCACAGTCCCTCAAACTGTTGGAGGACCGGATTATAATTTTTAAAAAAATGAATGAATTCCTATGCACACTGCACATATCTTATTTGTAGTGCAAAAAACACTTAAAACAATACAATAATTAAAATGAAGAACAATTTTAACAAATATAAACTTATTAGTATTTCAATGGGAAGTGTGGGCCTGCTTTTGGCTGATGAGATAGGATTGTTGTTGTTGTTGTGTGCTTTCATTTCAGACTGTGGGCCTGCTTTTGGCTGATGAGATATGATTGTTGTTAGTGTTGTTGTTGTGTGCTTTCAAGTCATTTCAGACTGTGGGTCTGCTTTTGGCTTACTTATTTATCGTGTCAGTGCAACCAGTCGATTATATTACATTTCTAACAGAACAAAGCAAAAAAAAAATCCAGAAAAATACAAAATTTGTGAGTTTGGTAGCTTTTGGCTGATGAGATAGGATTGTTGTTGTTGTTGTATGCTTTCATTTCAGACTGTGGGCCTGCTTTTGGCTGATGAGATATGATTGTTGTTGTTGTTGTTGTTGTTGTTGTTGTGTGCTTTCAAGTCGTTTCAGACTGTGGGCCTGCTTTTGGCTGATGAAATAGGATTGTTGTTGATGTTGTTGTTGTGTGCTTTCAAGTCATTTCAGACTTAGGTTGACCGTGAGCGAGGGCCAGATAAATTACCTTGGAGGGCCATATCTAGCCCTAGGGCCTTAGTTTGGTGACCCCTGCACTATACCATTCCTATAGACAACATGCTCTCAGTAAAATCAAAGGGAATGTCTCTCCATATAAATTGCTGAGGAGCAGAAGCACACAAGTTGTCAAGCCTGGCTTCTCTTGGGGGGCATTCACTTAGTGTGGGAAACATGATACTGGACTAGAGAAGGCTTTGGCCTATCCAGAACAGCTCTTCCCAGAACAGAAACAAACCACTGCTGTCTTAAAGCTACACCTGTGAGCTTTCCAAAAGTGACTGGCCGGCTGACAGAAACAGAGGTACGTTCGGAAAAGAATTCAATGTGTTCCTAAAGGGAGGAGGCAGAACTATGGAATGGAAGCCGGAAGAACATCCTGGGATCTTGATTCCTCGGGGACAAGCATTTGGGTTGTCACAGAGGCAGCCTTGTGTACGTGGCAAGCGATGGGGATGCGCCTTGGCTCTGAAACCTACCCACCATTCTGTCACTTGGCCAGAAAAAGGAAGGAGAAGGAGAGGAAAAAAATGCACCATCAGGCTCACGTTTGGAAAAGAAAACAAAAGAGAACACTTTATGTCGGAGAATCATTTCACAGCCTTAAATTGGAGGGAATGTTTGCATTAAGAGAAAGGGAAAAAAAATCAATGGAGGATCAGAGTTATAAACTGCTTTGTAACAGTCAGCGACTCAACCCCAGATTAAAAGCAACCGTATCCAAATTGCCCCGGCCTATCCCTCAAGGGAGATTACAAGGAAATGGGAAGGAAGTGGTTTGTAGGAGGATTTGGGGCAGGGAAAGCAAGTTTGGGGCACAGATAAGGTGACAGTGGGCTCCTACCCTGACACAGAAGTAATAAATAACCAAGTTAAACATTACACTTTAAAAAAAACAACAACAAGGAACCATTCAAACTAGACTTCCTCTTGGACATAGGTTGGAGGGCGCTCAGACACAAAAGGCGTTGGGTGGGGTGAAGAATAATCTTGTAATCTTAGCCCATAAGGCATGCAAGAAGTATCAGAAGAGAAGAAAAGCAGAACTGGCTCTGCAAATCAAACCCAGTGTCTCTCTGTCCTCTTCTCCTTTTCTCCATTATCAACCGGAAAGAGTAGAAAGTGCCCGAGTGTCCAGTCGGACACCCAACTCATTTTTGGTCTATTTGTCCCGACGGTGCCTCTTTCCCAGTGACCGTTTCTAAAGGAACACAATCATATTATGACAACTGGCACCCTGCCACGGTCCCGGAGGGCACAGTGGAAATGCAGACCAACTTGTGGAAAAGCAGCAATCCAAGAAAGGCATCCTTGTGTGCAAGACTGGACAGACAAACAAGTCCCAAGGTGGCAGGCTACTGGCCAAAAGAGGAGGGATGGCACTGGATACCACAAACTGGCTGTGAGACAAGAAGGAAGATCCCACCTGGCAGGGAAAATTCCTTATTTGCTGTCCTACTCTATGTCAGACTCCCATGCAGCCCATTCAACTACTGGCAGTTTGTAACTATACAGCTAAATCTGAAGGACACAGAGTTGAAAATTGGATTCCTTTTTAGAAACTAAACTCCATCTCAGTGGTTCTCAACCTGGGGTCCCCAATGTTTTTGCTACAACTCCCAGAAATCCCAGCCAGTTTACCAGCTGTTAGGATTTCTGGGAGTTAAAGGCCAAAACATCTGGGGACCCCAGGTTGAGAACCACTGGAAAATTAAAGGGCCACAGAAAACTCACCAAAGAGGTGAGCATTTCTGGAGATGAAGGGCCCCCTCTTCTAAGCAACTGGGTCTTAAAAACTCACAAGCAATTCACAGAGTTGCCTGGTCAAAGGTTTTAAGGCACAGGAGCTTGACAGTGGACAGGAATCCAAGACAACGCCAGTCGACGGTTGTAAAAGCCTCCAGGGAAGGACAAACATGTCATGCCCACCTCCTTCCTCCACTATGAGAGACATGATCGCATATGCAATGTTTCCTGCTCAAAATGTCTAGAATCCTTATTAGAAGCGCTCACAAACCAAACCGGGAACTTCCAGCAAACTAACAACTGATTCAGCACACAACCCCAGGCACACAATGTTGTTTCTCATTCAGCCAAGGGGAGATAACAAGGGGACTGGAGATAGCGAAAAAGTGCCTGAAAACCATACAAACTTATTATAGCTTTTTAAAAAACCAAACCGAGGAGGTACCTTCAGAGAAGTGGCACCAAAGAATCAAACAAAAACACCACAATTGGACCTGGTGTGGACAGAAATTTAGGCCGGACCTCATCACTGGACAGGCAAGCACCAGAGATGCTACAAGGGGGAGGAAAGGGGTCTTTTGGTTTTGCCACCAAGGCAGAATATTCAGAAATGGCTGGAAGGGCATAGCATCTGAGGATCCCCAGCAATGTTTTGTGTGCTCTCACAAAAAAAAACCCCCAAAAAACATGGTAACTTCTCCTACAAAGATGGAATGAAGGTTTACGCTTAGGAGGGAGAAGAGAAATGAAATATCTCCGAAATGACCTAAGTGCCCCCCCTTTCTTGCCCCCTCAAACCACAATCATATTTTGTTGCCATATTACGTCAAAAGTAATTGAGTGCACCAAAGGCTGAGGGAGCTGAGGAGGCTCGGATTCTTTCTGGGGTTCCCCACCACCTTTGATGAGCCTGTCGCCCCAGACCTCAAAGCCATCACAGTCCCAGGGGGGCCGGAAGAAGGGGCTTGGCCTTCAGCATAGAAAAGGGACCCGAGTTCACCGAAGCCAGCGTCTCCCTTGCACACCTCCTGCGTGGAAGCCTGTGCCTGAGAACTGAACTTGCAAAGCGTTCCATCCGGATGCGAGGCAAGAAGGAAGGGGAGGACGGTGGCAGGATGGAGATGGAGCCAGGTTCCTTGAAAAGGCTCAAGAGGGCTTCAGCCAACAAGACACGTGGTCCTGGGGAACGGAACGGAAGAAAGTGCTTCATACAGCCCTGGGTCCAGCGCAACTGAATTCCAGCACTGAGGGTTGAAAGAGACAAAAGGGAACGAGGAAGAGGAAGAGAGATCAGAACAACAGTCAGGAGTATGTGCTTCATGAGTGACTCACCTGAAATGCTGTTATTTATTTACTAGCTGTACCCGCCACGCGTTGCTGTGGCCAAACCTCCCGCCCTCTTTCTTCCCTTCTTTCTCTCCTTCCTTCCTTCCTTCCCTCTTTCCTTCCCTCCCTCTTTTTTTTTCTCTTCTTCTTTCTTCCTTTCTCAACCTGTTTCTTTCCTCACTTCCTTTGCTCTTTGGTTTCATCCTTCCTTGTCTCTTTCCTTCCTTCCTTCCCTCCCTCTTTCTTTCGTTCCTTCTCTCCTTCCTCCCCTCTCTCTTTCCTTCCTTCTTTCACTTTTTTATTTCCTTCTGTCCTTCCTTCCTTCCTTCTCTACCTTTTTTCTTTCCTTCTCTCCCTCTTTCTCTCCCTCCTTCTCTCCTTCCTTTCTTCCTTTTCTATGTATATGTATTTTGTGTATATATATTTCTGTATATATTTGTGTATATGTGTATATATGTGTGTTTGTGTATATATGTGGTTTTGCACATGCGTTGTAATGGATTTTTTGTTTTTTCGCTTTTTAAGTCTCTTCCGCTGTGTTTTCCAGTGTTTTTATGAGTGATGACCTGATAGGTGTATTGTCTCAAAATTTGGTGTTAATTCGTCCAGTGGTTTTTAAATTATGTTAATCCCACAAACAAACATTACATTTTTATTTATATAGATTTATTTATTTACGACATTACTATGCCGCCCTTCTCACCCCGAAGGGGACTCAGAGCAGCTTGCAAGATATATATACATACAATATATTATATTATTAGCATAGTACAATATCAGTATTAAATATTACTATATTGTACTATAACATTATATTGTAATATTATTAATAATATTACATGTAATATATAATATATAATATAATCTTCCCAGCTCATTAAAGAACCCCTTCACAAACTAAAGACCAGTTTTCACTAAAGCCTTGTAAGAAATGGTACCATTTCAGACTGGAGTGGAGCAAGGAAAGCTAACATGACTTCTCCACAAAAACAAACCCAAAACATGCACCTTCCATGCCGTATTAGACCCACATCCAGAAACATGAATGCATCCTGTCAGGAATAATAAAAATGTAACCAGTAATTTTAATTACAAAACATGTGAATCAAGTACTGAAAGAGTTAGTAGGCCGAAGCCTGTTAAGAGTCAATGGACCGAAGCTAGTGTCGTCCTGAAGTGTGTGAGATAAACCTCTGTGTGAGAGAAGCCTAGTGTGAGAAAGCTTCAGGGTGGAGGCTGCTTTGTGTAAAGCCACTATGTATTTCTTTATTTGTGTTATGGAAACCTTGTTCTTGTAAATAGTGCGACCATATTATTTTACCACAAAGAAAAGCCTCCTATGGAAGAGATAACATTGGTCTGTGTGTTTTTGTTCTCACTTTGGGCTACTGGTGGTGGGTCACACTGCTGCTGATAATTTACTCTGCTTTGCATTTATGAGGAGGGTCCTTCATTAATAAGTCCACTTGCCCAACAATGTGAAGTGTGACAACTGGAACAATAGGAAAACCGTGGTGATTTCTTTCCCCCTCTTGTTCTGGCTTTAGGATATTTATGCCTGTCAATTCACAAGCTCACACTCATATTTCTCAGATACTTGTCATAAAGCTGAAGAAGCAAGGAACTGGGAGAGAGTTCCCATTTCCAATTATTTGGTATCTGGCTATAGAATCATAGAATCCTAGACTTAGAAGAGATCTCGTGGGCCATCCAGTCCAACCCCATTCTGCCAAAAAGCAGGAAAATCGCATTCAAAGCACCCCCAACAGATGTCCACCCAGCCTCTCCAAAGGAGGAGCCTCCACCACACTCAAGGGCAGAGAGTTCCACTGCTGAACAGCTCTCACAGTCAGGAAGTTCTTCCTAATGTCAAAGTGGAATCTCATTTCAAGTAGTTTGAAGCCATTGTTCCATGCCCTAGTCTCCAGGGCAGCAGAAAACAAGCTTGCTCCCTGCTTCTTATGACTTCCCCTCACATCTTGATCCACAGCCCTCATCATGTCTCCTCTCAGCCTTCTCTTCTGCAGGCTAAACATGCCCAGCTCTTTAAGCCGTTCCTCATTGGGCTTGTTCTCCAGACCTTTGATCATTTTAGTCACCCTCCTCTGAACACATTCCAGCTTGTCAACATCTCCCTTGAATTGTGGTGCACAGAACCTTTTGTCAGAGGATGACCATAACCCTCTATCTTGTTTTCTAGCCCTCATTGATCATGGATGGCTCGCAAATGGTCAAGAGTCACACCCTATTCCCTTGATAAGGCTTCAGTAAGACTCCCACAAACCCAAGGTATTCGGGCTACAGCATTCTTCACACATCCCTGACCAGGTTTACCTCGCAAGACAGTTTTCAGCATGCTTGAATTTTGGCTCTAGCAGTTGCATTGTTGTCGGGTCTGTGCTTGGGTCCCTCGGGGTTGCCGCAGTTGCCTCAAGGAAGCATCCCCATACTGGATGCCTGAACCCATCCGCTCTGGATCCAGTTCACCTGGAAGGTTAAGAAGAGGGGGAGGGATTGTCACAAACATAATCATATTAGGCTTTAGATCAGTGTTTCCTCAATCTTGGGGTCTGGACGCATAGGGGTCATGAGAGGGATGTCAGAGGGGTCATCAAATACCATTCAAAAACACAGTATTTTCTGTTAGTCCTGGGGGTTCTGTGTGGGAAGTTTGGCCCAATTCTATCGTGAGGTTCAGAATACTCTTTGATTGTAGGTGAACTACAAATCCCAGCAACTACAACTCCCAAAGGTAAAAGCCTATTTTTCCCAAACTCCACCAGTGCTTACATTTGGGCATATTGAGTATCTGTGCCAAGTATGGTCCAGATCCATCGTTGTTTGAGTCCACAGTGCTCTCTGGATGTAGGTGAACTACAACTCCAAACCCTTCCAGTATTTTCTGTTGGTCATAGTTTTGTGTGCAAAGGTGGGTTCAATTCCATTGTTGGCAAAGTTCAGAATACTCTTTGATTGTAGGTGAACTATAAATCCCATCAACTACAACTCCCAAATGACAAAATTAACCCCCAACCTCACCAGTATTCCAATGTGGGCATATCAGGTATTTATGCCAAATTTGATCCAGTGAATGAAAATACATCCTGCATATCAGATATTTATATTATGATTCATAACAATAGCAAAATTATAGTTATGAAGTAGCAATGAAAATTATTTTATGGTTGGAGGTTACAACATGAGGAACTGTATTAAGGGGTCGCGGCATGGGGAAAGTTGAGAAACACTGCTTTAGATGCTCCTTTTCATATCTTGTTGCCAGGTTGAATACAGGACAAGTGATGGCTGTATCACTATCAAAAATGCTTACTCTTTGTCATGTATTATGTTCTGCAGTTGATGGTGGTTGGTGATGGAAGGGTTAATGTAAGTATTAGTTCTAAAGAGTTGAGTAATCTGCAAGTAAGAGTTCATGGGTGAAAGCAATTAAGGGAGGAGGTATACAAAAGATAGGTTGTAGCTGGGTGTTTCTGGATATAAGGAGCGAGCCTTGGGACTGATCTTTGGGAGAAAAGTATTGTCTTATTTTGGTGGTAGATGCTGCTAGTTTTCCCCCAGGTTTGTGGATTTTCGGTATCCTGACCTGTATCCTGTACTCTTGGAACCCTGGAACCTTAAATCTTTGGACTGGCTTTTGACTATGGTATAGACCAGGGGTCCTCAAACTTTTTAAACAGAGGGCCAGATCACAGTCCCTCAAACTGTTGGAGGGCCGGATTATAATTTGAAAAAAATATGAATGAATTCCTATGCACACTGCACATACTTTATTTGTAGTGCAAAAAAAAAACTTAAAAACAATACAATAATTAAAATGAACAATTTTAACAAATATATATTTATTAGTATTTCAATGGGAAGTGTGGGCCTGCTTTTGGCTGATGAAATAGGATTGTTGTTGATGTGTGCTTTCAAGTCATTTCAGACTTAGGTTGACTCTGAGCGAGGGCCAGGTAAATGACCTTGAAGGGCCGTATCCGGGCCCCGGGCCTTAGTTTGAGGACCTCTGGTATAGACCCTTGATCCCTGGACTTTGCTCACTGAACTCTCGGTGTTTGACTACTGGACTAGACCTTTTGACTACGGTGTTATCTTGAACCTGCAACAGTGTTTGCTGTCAGTTTTGTTTTATATTCTATGGCTGAATGCTATCTTTATGTTTTATGTTTTGGACTATTAAAACAGCCAGAAAGTAAGTGCTGTTTTAAGTAAACTGTTTGATACAAACTGAGTGATTGTTTGGTTCATCTCTACCTGAATAAGGCAGAGCCCTGGCATCGTGACACTCTTCAACAACTGTCTCCTCATGACATGTCAAAAAATAACTTGGGGCAAAAGTTGCTATTGTATCGGTTATCTCATGTGTGTTGCTGATGTTTCATAGTGTGCCTCTGCTCCATAAAACTTCTTTGAAATCACACAGACACACGTGTTTCAGAGGTATTAATGTTACAAGGCAAAAATATTTTCATCCAGACTTGGGGAGTGGGAGGTATATTTTGTTTTGGACTCAAGACAGGAAAGGAATCCAGACGCACCTGATTCAATTTTGTTCAGTATAGTCCGAGCGCATTTTAGGAAAGCTTCTTCTACATTCTCCCCGGTCAAGGCGCTGGTCTCAAGGAACATTAACTCTGTCGCATTAAAAAGTAAAGACACCGAATAAACATTAGTTTAGTCATGCAAGATCAAGCCAAAGAGGGAGTGGGGCAAATGTTCTCTCCTTCCAGCTTTGAAAAGGGAACATGTTGATGGAAAACTCCCAAAAGAAGGGGCCGGGATAATTCATAAGTAGAGCCTATAATCATGCCAAGATTCTTTTGCTTCCCACAACTTCTTCTCCAAAATTGAGGGTTAGCTGCCTCATGAGGTTTACATGTGATCAAGGAGGTAGGCACAAAACACCATTACTCATTAACCAATCAATGGACACAATAATTAAGCAGCCTACAAGGAGAGCAAAGGCATGAAGAAGCACTGGGTTGCTGCGAGTTTTATTTATTTATTTACAGTATTTATATTCCGCCCTTCTCACCCCAGAGGGACTCAGGGCAGATTACAATGTACATATACATGGCAAACATTCAATGCCATAGACACACAACATATATAGACAGACACTCAAGAGGCTATTTAATATTCCAGCTCCTGGTCACCAGGGGAGCTGTCGCTTCACCGTCCCTTTGTGACACTGATGAAGTACTTCCTCATTCTTTGCATACTTCCTGGAGATTTTTATGGCCTTGTAAATCAGTTAAATTAGCCTCCCCACATAAGTGGTACCTAAATTTCCTACTTGACAGATGCAGCTGTATTTCGAGCTGCAAAAGTTGACAACAGACTACAAAATTTTGGTCAAAAGCGCACTCTGACCCAGGCTGGCTTCGAACTTATGACCTTTCGGTCAGTAGTCATCTTAATGCAGCAGCGCCACAGTCCCGGTGCTGTATGGCTATGTTCCTGAAGCATTCTCACCTGACATTTTGCCAGGCATCCTCAGAGGTTGTGAGGTCTGTTGGAAACTAAGCAAGTGAGGTTGATATATTGTAGAATGATGTGCAGGGTGGGAGAAAGAATTCTTGTGTGGGTCAGCTTCATCCCTCCTCTCTTTTAGAAAGAAGCTCAAAACATGGTAAAGAGCAACATTCAAACAACAGGAGATTTGAGTCAATCAGGGTCAGCTGACACCTCCCAACACAGGAGTCCCACAGGCAGCAATCAGCCAGGCTTTGAAGCTGCAAGGCCATTCAATGCTAATCAAGGTGGCCATTTGCAACGTTCACTCTTTCTTCCAACAGACACCAACACAGGATTCCCACAGGCAGCAATCAACCAGGCTTTGAAGCTGCAAGGCCATTAAATGCTAATCAAGGTGGCCAATTGCAACATTCATAGACAAGAGTTCTTTCTCCCACCCTGGACATTCCACAAATATATAAACCTCCCTTGCCTAGTTTCCAACAGATCTCTCAACCTCTGAGGATGCCTGCCATAGATGTTGGCAAAATGTCAGGAGAGAATGCTTCTGGAACATGGACATACAACTTGGAAAACTCACAGCAACCCAGTGATTCTGGCCATGAAAGCCTTTGACAACACATGAAGAAGCAGCTTAGCTCCAAAGCCATGTGACAAGACTTGAGCATCCCCTGCTGGACAAGAGAGCTCCGGACAAGCTTCTGCTACCAAAGGGACAGCACAAGGAGAACACAATGTACACAAGCACCACTCAAAAAGTGACTATTTGTCAGCAGCTATTTTACAGTCTGGGAGGAATGGCTAAGGCCAACCAAGGGCAGGTGTGGTGAAGAAAACAATTGCTTGAACTACACAATCAGAATCCCTACTTCTGTCTTCCTCCCAGCCCTTCTAACCTCTTGCAGAGCTTACCATTTTCCTGAGCAAAACGTGAAGCTTCCAAAAACGTAACTTCTCGGTCAGCGTCCAGATCTTTCTTGTTGCCACAGAGAATGATGACTATGTTGGGGCTGGCTAGAGTCCGGGCATCTGTTAGCCAGTTGGTCAAGGCATTATACGTCTCTCTGCTGCAGATGACAAACGGGGCTTTTTCAGTCATGCAAAGTGTTGGAAGTAACTACCTTCTACAAACCTCCTATACTAGTTATTTGTTATATATATAATTGTGATTGCTTACTATAAAAATAAAAGGTGAAGTTTTCCTCTTGGCATTAAGTCTAGTTGTGTCTGACTCTGGAGGTTGGTGCTCATCTCCATTTCTAAGCCAAAGAGTCGGTGTTGTCCATAGACGCCTCCAAGGTCATGTGGCCAGCATGACTGCATGGAGCACCATTACCTTCCCAAGAAGTTGTACCTATTGCTCTACTCATTTGCATGTTTTCCAACTGCTAGGTTGGCAGGAGCTGGGCCTAACAGCAGGAGCTCACCCTGCTCCCCAAATTCAGACTGTCAACCTTTCAATCAACAAGTTCAGCAGCTCAGCGGTTTAACCCATTGCACCACTAGGGGGCTTTGCTTATTATATCGTATGTATATATTGATATTTATTAGTTATTTATTTACTCTATTTATATACCATCCCTCTCAGCCCGCAGGCAACTCAGGGCTGTTTACAGCTGGTGCCAAGACCCTAAAATACAATTTCAATACAATGAAAACAATCAGACAATAAAACCACAACAAAATCAATAAAAACATGAATATTAGGGTCTCCTATTAAAAACATTGTCCAATCACATCGCCCAACCATTCCATTTTCCTATGTCTGTTGCATATGTATTTGGAAATGCCTGCTCAAAGAGCCAAGTTTTGACTCTCTTTCGAAATGTTAAAAGAGATTTGCAGTTTTCCCCTTAACTTTATGTTGTTTGAGGTTGTGGGAGGGACTGCAAACCATGTGATCAGATCTGGGACTGCTCTGCGGACAGTCTCAATTTTAGAGGACAGACTCCATTAAACTCTCAGAATTAAAGATGTTGCTGTTGATTCTAAGAAAAATGCCCTTCAAATCTACCTGCAACTGGATTGACAAGCAATGTACCTGTATGCTGAATACATGAAGTTTGTAAATAAATAAACTATGTTATTTTAAAGAAGTCTACTTATTTTTGCCTCTTAAGAGAATGATTTAAAACAAAATATATTTTATGGGGGAGTAGATGTTTTTGGACCTCCCCTGAGTGGCTGAACTTGCTGACCAAAAGGTTGGCGGTTCGAATTCGAGGAGCAGGGTGAGCTCCTGCTGTTAGCCCTAGCTTCTGCCAGCCTGGCAGTTCGAAAAATGCCAATGTGAGTATGGGTTGTTGTAGGTTTTTTCAGGCTATATGGCCATGTTCTAGAGGCATTCTCTCCTGACATTTCCCCTGCATCTATGGCAAGCATCCAATGGATGCAGGTGAAACGCCTCTAGAACATGGCCATATATGCCTTTAGAACATGGCCATATAACCCCCAAAAAAATACAACAACCCAGTGATTCCAGCCATGAAAGCCTTCGACAATACATCAAATGAGTAGATCAATAGGTACCACTTTGGTGGGAAGGTAACGGCACTCCATGCAGTCACGCTGGCCACATGACCTTGGAGGTGTCTACGGACAATGCCTGCTCTTCAGCTTAGAAACTGAGATGAGCACCACCTTCCAGAGTCGGACACGACTAGACTTAATGTCAAGGGGAAACTTTTACCTTTACCTTTAGATATTTTTGAGCAACTTAAATAATACTTCAGAAGATCAGCTATTTATCTGGTGCACTGGTATAATCTTTGTTCCTAACAATTCACAGAAATAAACCAGGTATATCAGTCTAATAATTGAGAAACCTAAATTGCCTTGCATGAATGCTAGTGGATATTTACCACTAAGGAGAAGATTCACTCAAATGAATATTTAACTCTTCTCAGGAAGATCATACTTTACAAAAGGCTATGATCATTCCAAATAATGTGAATGCCAATTAATCTCTATTTATCACTCAAGAAAAGATTCACTCAAACAAGTTTTCAGCTCTTCTCAGGGAGATTATACTTTACAAAAAAAAGTTATAATAATTCCAAATAGTGTGAATGCCAATTAATATCCCAATTAATCCTTTCCAAAAGCTTTGGAGATTCTGGTTTTTCCAAAAGGTTATGAATGCCTTTTCCAAAACAAAGAAGAGAGGTGCCACCATTTCCTCCTGCAGTGAACTTGAAAGACAGTCTCCAGCCTCCTCCCTTCCAATATCCTGAAGGGATCTCCCACTGCCCTAGATCGGGAGTGGGAAATGTCCAACTCTTGGTCTTCATGGTGGGTTTCATAGCCTGGTGCCTGGGGAAGTTCAGGGGACCTTCGGGATGGCCCAGTAGCAGAAAATTGGCCCCAAGATCTGTGAGGTTGCTCCATTTGTCATACCAATGTCACAACAATCGGTAACACCCCCTACTCATTATATGATTTTAAGAAATGGAACAGGTCAAGGTCCATTCTAACAATACATGATAGGGTCCAGGTGAAGGGGAAGATGAGGCAAATAATGGGACACACCTGGTGATGTCGTAGACCAAGAGCGCTCCTGCTGCCCCCCGGTAATAGCTTCTTGTTACTGACCTACAGGGAAAGAGACCGAAGGCTTGTAAGAGATTCAAAAGCAGGATTTTGAAAATTCAGGATGTCAGCTACAATGCCACTCAGCTGCCTTCCCCACATTAATAGAAACCTGACAACTTCAAAGCCACCACAGGTGAACTAGAACTCCCACAGCCCCATCGCTTGGAATGCAACCGTATTTCCTTTTGGGAACCTGTAGAGGGGAAATTCCACCTGGAATCTTTCCCTTACCTAAAGCGTTCTTGCCCAGCTGTATCCCAGATCTGGAGCTTCACCGTCTTGCCACCGACATTCACCACCTTTGATCCAAACTCCACCCCGATTGTATGGTTGGAATCCTGCTTGACTGAATAAACACATAGAAAAAGCGCAACCGATAAATGAGAGAGCACAGAAAGCTTTAAATCCTCATTAAAACAGCAATTTAGGATCCCAAAGTTCCAAATCACTAAAAGGGGGGGGGGGGGGCAAAGGATCATACTGCCAACATATTAAACTGAAAGTTATTGTAATTAATTGTAATTAACAAGTAGTTAAAACTTGGGCACCAGCTGCGATCATATCTCGAAAAGCCTGACTTGGCTACGGTGACCCATGCCTTAGTTCAGTGGTTCTCAACCTGGGGTCCCCAAGATGTTTTTGGCCTACAACTCCCAGAAATCTTTGCCAGTTTATCAGCTGTTAGGATTTCTGGGAGTTGTAGGCCAAAAACATCTGGGGACCCTAGGATGAGAACCACTGACTTAGTTATATACAGAATGGACTACTGCAATGCACTCTACATGGGGCTGCCTTTGAAGACGGCTCAAAAACTGCAGAGGTTGGAGGCCAGATGACTTAACTGGAACTGGTTATAGGAAGCACACCATGCCCCTATTAAAGCAGCTCCACTGGGTGCCAATGAGTTTCTGGACCCAATTCATAGTGCAGGTTATTACCTCCAATGCCCTAGACCAGGGTGTCCTCAAACTATGGCCTGGGGGCCGGATACGGCCCTCCAAGATCATTTACCCGGCCCTCACTCAAGGTCAACCTAAGTCTGAAACTACTTGAAAGCACATAACAACAACAACAACAATCCTATCTCATCAGCCAAAAGCAGCCCCACACTTCCCACTGAAATACTAATAAGTTTATATTTGTTAAAATTATTCTTCATTTTAATTATTGTATTGTTTTTGTTTTTTGAACTACTAATAAGATATGTGCAGTGTGCATAGGAATTCATTCTTTTCTTTTTTTTCAAATTATAATCTAGCCCTCCAACAGTTTGAGGGACTGTGGCCTGGCCCTCTGTTTAAAAAGTTTGAGGACCCCTGACCTAGACACTTCGGGTCCAACCTATTTTTGAGACCGCATCTCTTTCTATGAACCAGCACGGGCACTAAAATCTACTGGGGAAGCCCTCTTCTCTGTCCTACTTCCGACTCAAGTGCGGTTGGTGAGGACAAGACAGAAGGCCTTCTTGCTGATGGCCCCTCGACTTTGAAATGATCTCCCGAGGGAGATTATTTATTATTTATTTATTTACAGTATTTATATTCCGCCCTTCTTACCCCACAGGGCAGATTACAGTGCACATATACATGGCAAACATTCAAAGCCATAGACACACAACATATATAGACAAACACAGAGGCAATTTAAGCTTCATGAAGGTATGCTCGAATTCCAGCCACCGGGGGAGCTGTCACTTCACGGTCCACTTGTGACACTGAGTCCTTGATGGAGTACTTCCTCATTCTTTTGCCCACCGCTGGAGATTTTTATGATGCTGTAAATTAGTTAAATTAGCCTCCCTGAATAAGCGGTACCTAGATTTCCTACTTGACAGATGCAACTGTCTTTCGGGCTGCAAAGGTCGACAGCAAGCTAGACAAATGGTCGGGAGCTTACTCCGACCCGGGCTGGCTTCAATCTCATGACCTTTCCGTCAGTGGAGATTTAATGCAGCTGACTCCTAGCCAACTGCGCCACAACCCAATTATGCCAACAGCCACTCTCCAAGCCTTCCATATACAATTGAAGACATGACTATTTCAACAAGCCTTTGACCTAAATGAAAATATTTGAGGACCTAGAGACTATTTCACCGTGCACTTTATGAGCCTGATATTGACTGCAGTTGTTTTATTCCTGAGCTATTGTTGCATTTTACTGATCTGAGCTGGGGGGTGATGTTTATGTTATTTGTTATTGCTTTTGTGTTATTGTTTTTGCACTTTTTGTATTTTACATGTTTGCACCTTTGAGCGCTTTGTGAGCTGCCCCGAGTCCCTCTGGGAGATGGTGGTGGGGTATAAATAAAGAAGAAGATTATTGTTGTTATTATCATTATTATTAAATACCACAAACATCTGATTTACGGCTAAAGGGGCAATGGACCAGTGGACAGAGGGATGTAAATGATGGGATAAAAGAGAAGTGGTTACAGCATGAAGATGCAATTGTAGTGCACCACTCAAGGAAGGCATCCTGTGTAGCTCTTTCACAGCCTGTTGCAGCACAGGAAGGAAGTGGGGAAGTGTTTTTCCTTCCATCAGTGATTTGCTTCATGTGAAAGTTTTCAGTGTTCTGTCAAAACAGCCTTTTATAACCGAAGAAAACTCAATTTCCATACATTTGTCTTAAGACTGTCCAACTGTGATTAAACCATTATTCTATCCTTCTTCAAAGTAAATGTGGTTACGCATTCTTCCAATAACAATAAAGAGATTAAAATAATAAATGTAATCATAATAACAATAGAGTAAAATAATGGAAATATAATAGTAAAAGTAATAATAGAGTAAAATAATAAATCTATATAAATAAAAATGTAATTTTCGTTTGTGGGATTAACAGAACTCAAAAACCACTGGACGAATTGACATCAAATTCGGAAACAACACACCTATCAGGCCAACAAGTGACCATCACTCATGAAAACACTGAAAAACACAATGGAAGGAACTTTAAAAGCCAAAACAAGCAAAAAGATGCTACAGCACATGTGCAAAAACAACTCCCCCTGGCAAACAAAACACAATAGCATATCCACACTCTCTTTCGGACTACAGTTCCCAGCATCCTGTAGACCTTTAGGAGAGGAGGATGATCCAAATGCACTGTTTCCAAGCTACAAGCTTTCTTCTCCTTGGATTTCTTTGAGAGCATATTTCCAATTTCCTATTCCTGGATTGCAACTCCCAGTAATCCTCCAGGTAGATAAGATAGATAGATAGATAGATAGATAGATAGATAGATAGATAGATAGATAGATAGATAGATAGGGAGGTGTACTGGGAGCTGCAGTCCAAGAATATGTAGAGAAGGAAGAAAGGGAAAGAAAGGGGGGAAGGAAGGGAAGAGGAAAACAAGGAAGGAAGGAGAGAATGAAAGGAAAAAAGGGAAGGAGAAAGAAAGGAGGAGAGAAAAAGGGAGGGAAGGTTGGCCACAGCAATGCGTGGCAGGTACAGCTAGTGTAATAATAATAAAGAGAGTAAAATAATAAATGTAATAATAACAACAATAAAGTAAAATAATAAGTGTAATAATAATAATAATGATAGAGTAAAATGATAAAAGTAATAATAATAACAGAGTAAAATAATAAACAACCTTGACTCGAGTATAAGCCGAGGGGGACTTTTTCAACCTAAAAAAAGGCTGAAAAACTAGGCTTATACTTGAGTATATACAGTAGTTTCTGCCCAATTTTCTAGTTTACCTAGATCCTTCCAATTTTTGTTCCTATCTTCCAATGTGTTAGCCTTCCTCTCAGTTTTGAGTCATCTCCAAACTTGATAAGGATTTCCTCCATTTTAAGTCACTGATAAAAACCTTGAAGACAAATGGCTCTGGGACAAACCCCTGAGGCACTCTAATAGATATGTCCTTCCAATCTGAAGCACAGCCATTGATGATGTCTCTTTCAGCATGGATTTCCAATCAATTATGGACCCAGCTCACATGAATCCCATGCTTTTCACATTTACTAATCAAAATATTACCTATGTGAGAACTTATCAAATGCTTTTCTGAAATTAATGACTTTCACAGCATCTCCACCTTGGTGTTGTCAAACATTCTGCAATGGCTTTGGACCAGGTAAGAGGCCACTATGCTACATATTCTTTTCCTTGACATAGACATGCTCCTGTCTCCGCCCCTCGAAGTAAGAATATCTTATGAGAACTGCTTCAAAATCAATTGAACAGATGCATGAGAAGAACACAGAGAACATTCAGTTCAGGCAGGCAACATCTCTCCCGCCGGCACAACTTTAGTTGGAGGAATGATAAAAGGGCTCTTTCCTGCTGTGGAGCTCAGCATACCCAATTATCTCTGTGGAAGAATATTATCCAGATCCCTGCTTTTAAATGAGCTTTTAAAATGGCATTCATTTAATTCACTTTGCTGCAGCACTCCTGCATTTTAAATCTTGGCAATGTTCACTTCCCTCTATCGATCATGACTTTATTTAGATTGTTCGTCAAGTGGTTTCCATTATACTGCCTTTTATATTTAATTTCTTGTATACTGCACGTGGTATAGCATTTGATACAGATTTTTTAAAAAAAACAACTCACATTTGTTTTCAATGAACTGATGCAGGAGGCAGGACTTCCCCGTTCCGGCACTTCCAATTACCAGGAATTTGAAGAGGAAATCTGGAAGGAGATCAAGAAATGGCCTTATGATGACAAGACAGTCCAAAAGCAGGAAACAATCAGGAAAAGAAAGGATTCTGGAAGAGAACAGCATCCTGGACAAGTGACGGCTGATGTTAAACGGCATTACAGAAAAGCAGGCAGTTACAGGCATTTAAAAAATTCAAAACCAAATCCCAAAGCCACTGGTGAAAAGATATATGTTGAGCATCACTTATCCAGAAATTTGAAGTCTTCAAAATCCAAAATTGCCCACAGGAAAGGCTAAGATGGTGACAACATTGCTTTCTGATGATTCCATATATACAAACTTTGTTTCATAGACTAATCTATATAAATAAAAATGTAATGTTCGTTTGTGGGATTAACATAACTCAAAAACCACTGGGCGAATTGACAAGAAATTTGGACAAAACACACCTATCAGGCCAATGTATGACCATCACTCATAAAAACATTGAAAAATACAGTGAAAGAGACTTTAAAAGCCAAAAAATAAAAAATACATTACAATGCATGCACAAAACAACATATATACAAACATACACATATATACACACAAAAAACACATACTGGGTCACAGAAACGCGGCCCACACACAAAAAACACATACTGGGCCATGCAAAAGCACAGACTGGGCCACAGAAACGTGTGGCAGGGGGTGGCTAGTATGATATAAAATTACTTTCAGGCAGGGTATATAAGGAACATAAATGAATTGCATGTTTACACCTAGACCCCACGTACAAAATATCTCCGTATGAACATATGTGCAGATGCAGGTATTCCACGCCACACCCTAAATCTGAAATCCATAACACTTCTGGTACCCTTCTATTCTGCCTTGGTCAGACCACACCTGGAATACTGTGTCCAATTCTGGGCACCATAATTGAAGGGAGATGTTAACAAGCTAGAATGTGATCAGAGGAGGGAGGCTAAAACGATCCAGGGTCTGAAGAACAAGCCCTATGAGGAGCAGCTTAAAGAGCTAGGCATGTTTAGCCTGCAGAAGAGAAGGCTGAGGAGACATGATGAGGGCCATGGATCAAGATGTGAGGGGAAGTCATAGGGAGGAGGGAGCAAGCTTGTTTTCTGCTGCCCTGGAAACTGGGACGCAATGGAACAATGGCTTCAAACAACAGGAAAGAAAAGAGATTTCACCTGAACATTAGAAAGAACTTCCTAACTGTGAGAGCTATTAAGCAGTGGAAGTCTCTGCCCCGGAGTGTGGTGGAGGATCCTTCTTTGGAAACTTTTAAACAGAGGGTGGATGGCCATCTGTCAGGGGTGCTTTGAATGCAATTTTCCTGCTTCTTGGCAGAATGGGGTTGGACTGGATGGCCCACGAGGTCTCATCCAACTCTAGGATTCTATGATTTTAGGTAAGACATACTCAACCCTGCAATAATCTCAAAACTGAGATCTTCATTCTGCTTCTGAAAGTGGGACACCTTGAATCACCATTCCTTCTGGTAAAATATTTCAGCATTTCTTTGAATGCACTGGGGAGAAGTCTAGGCTTCCAGAAAGCTCAAGTCCACCCAACTTAGACTGCAAATAAGGCAAGAGGATTTTAATATAGGCAACCTTTTCATCTAAGAGATATATATGGTGGACGAAGGAAATGTTGACATTTTGGAAGCATGAGCCAAGTTTCCAAGCACTAGGTTCTTGACAGAGTCAGAGAATTTCTTGGTGATCAGGAAAAGAAGGAGCTATGTACAGAAACAAGGGCTGCTGCCACAAAACATTAATTGAATTGGTTTAGGACGCAAAATTTTAATGTTAATTCCTTACAACAGAGCTCCAAGGCTATCTCATTGAGACATCTTTCATTCACCAGCCTGCTTTCCCAGCTGTGTGAAGAGGACTAGAAATGTAGTGAATATATAAAAACCCAGGCAGGGGAACACTGAAAACAGAAATTAAATTAACAGGATAGAAAACCGTGAGTGTGATACACGAGAAGTAATTTTTGGATACATTTTCTGAGGCTTTGAATTCCACTCCAGAGAATAAACAAGGTCACACCACACATGACATAGTGTAGAACAGTGGCTCTCAAACTTCCTAATGCCACGATCCCTTAATATAGTTCCTCATGTTGTGCTGACCCCCAACCATAACATTATTTTCATTTCTATTTCCTAACTGTAATTTTGCTACTGTTATGAATCGTAATGTAAATATCTGGTATGCAGGACGTATTTTCATTCACGGGAGCAAATTTGGCACAAATACCCGATATGCCCAAATCTGAATACTGGTCGGGTTGGGGGGGATTGATTTTACCATTTGGGAGTTGTAGTTGCTGGGATTTATAGTTCACCTACAATCAAAGAGCATTAGGAACTCCACCAATGATCAAATTGAACCAAACTTGGCACACAGAACTCCCATGACCAACAAATACTGGAAGGGTTTGGTGGACAATGACCTTGAGTTTTGGAGTTGTAGTTCACGTACACCCAGAGAGCACTGTGGACACAAACAACAATGGATCTGGACCAAACTTGGTACAAATACTCAATATGCCCATATGTGAACACTGGTGGAGTTTGGGAAAAATAGACCTTGACATTTGGGAGTTGTAGTTGCTGGGATCTATAGTTCACCTACAATCAAAGAGCATTCTTAACCCAAAACACTAGAATTGAGCCAAACTTCCCACACAGAACCCCCATGACCAACAGAAAATACTGTGTTTTCTAATGGTCTTTGGCGACCCCTCTGACATCCCCTTGCAACCGCCCCCCCCCCCAAGGGTGAGAAACGCTGCTGTAGAATATGCCTGTCTTCTCTTCCCAATTAGAGAAGCTATCTTTGCTGCTATAGGACCTTTATAGTACTTGTAATAAAGTTATTTGGGGGGAGGGGGGGCATTAGTTCTAAACTGTCTAAAACAAGACCACTGCAGTATCAAAATAATTGCGAACAATCCTGCTAAGCTATTCATTTTCTCTCTTCAATCGTTTGTACACAATATAAATTTATATATACCGTATATTCCGGCATATAAGGCGACTGGGCGTATAAGACGACCCCCCAACTTTTCCAGTTAAAATATAGAGTTAAGACGACTCCCATGCATAAGAGTACACCCGTGTATAAGACGACCCCTGACTTTTGAGGAGATTTTCTTGGGTTAAAAAGTAGTCTTATACGCCAGAATATACTGTACATAAATACACATCCTTTCAGGGCAAAGATGTAAAAACTTTCCAACCTGGCCATAAAAGCAGGCAGGAGTTCACAAGCACCAATCTAGTTTATATGGAAAGAGGCACACCCTAAAAGAATCAACACCCCCACAGATTAAGATAAGACTGTCTTTGTTCAATAAAACTATCTCCGACGCAGGATTCGTTTTCCTCCTTTGTGTATTAAGAAAATATTTGAGGAGCTGTTGCTGCAAAGCGACGTGAGAGGCAAAGAAGCAAGGACAGATAGGGATTTTTTTTCCTTCCAAAACACAAAGGTGGCAAGGATGTGGATTTTTAAAGTTATTAATTATTCTATTGACAATATGTCTCCCAATACAGAAGGACTCTTAAAATGACGAACAATCCATTTTAAACACATTAAAACACCTTTTAAAAACTCCTAAAAGTGGTTAAATCCTAGGGTCCAGTTTTGAAACAACTAAAACAACAATTTCGAACACTGAATGCCTCACATCTCTCAAAATCATCACAAAAATCCTTCCAGATCACAAGCCGTCCCAAGAAGTCATTTGCTCCTTAAAGATTCTTCAATGCCCACAATGTCTCTAGTTTTCTGCTTTTGCATCAAAGCTGGCTTTGATCTCTCTAACATCCTAAAAAGTGGATCAAGCCCCTATAAAACTGTAGCAACAACAACATTCATGTGATTGCAGCGCATGTCCCACACTATACCACACCCTTCACTTTCTACCCACAGGCCAACGGCAACTGAATGCATACTTTTAAGGTCTATATTTGTCAGTTGCATACCGTCAAAGCACCAGCCTATTCAGATTAAATACGTATTCCCAATGTGTTGTTGAAGGCTTTCATGGCCAGAATCACTGGGTTGCTGTGAGTTTTCTGAGCCATGATCCAGAAGCATTCTCTCCTGACGTTTCACCCACATCCATGGCAGGCATCCTCAGAGATTGGGGGGTCTGTTGGAAACTAGGCAAGTGAGGTTTATATATCTGTGGAATGAACAGGGTGGGAGAAAGAACTTTTGTCTTCTTGAGGCAAGTGTGAATGTTGCAATTGGTCACCTTGATTAGCACTGAATGGCCTTGCAGCTTCAAAGCCTGGCTGCTTCCTGCCAAGGGGAATCCTTTGTTGGGAAGTGTTCGCTGGCTCTGATTGATTCTTGTCTGGAATTCCCCTGCTTCTTGAGTGTTGATCTTTCTTTAATGTCCTGATTTTAGAGTTTTTTTTTAATACTGGTAGCCAGATTTTGTTCATTTTCATGGTTTTCTCCTTTCTGTTGAAATTGTCCACATGCTTGTGGATTTCAATGGCTTCTCTGTGTAGTCTGACATGGTGGTTGTTAGAGTGGTCCAGCATTTCTGTGTTCTCAAATAATATGCTGTGTCCAAGTTGGTTCATCAAGGGATAGCAGACTACTTCAACCAGAGAAGTCATCCATAGCAGAGCACCTGATGAACCAACCTGGACACAGCATATTATTTGAGGACACAGAAATGCTGGACCATTCTAAATCAGGACAGTAAATCAGGAGAGTAAATAAAGAGCAACACTCAGAAAATTTCACTTGCCTAGTTTCCAACAGACCCCTCAATCTCTGAGGATGCCTGCCACAGATGTGGGCAAAACGTCAGGAGAAAATGCTTCTGAAACATGGCCATATAGCCCGGGAAACCCACAGCAACCTAGTAAATAGTCCCATGTCTGGAAGCTAGTCCACCAATTTAACGGGACAGGTTTGCTGCAGAAACTGTGAAGTCTGATTTCTTGCAATATTACAACTGTTAAGATATTTTCATTTATTGGGTTGTT